TAATAATAATAATAATAATAATAATAATAATAATAATAATAATAATAATAATAATAATAATAATAATAATAATAATCCTTTTATTGATTAAAAATATTATTCATACTAGTATCAACTATTGCATAATTTAATAAACTACTATTATCATTTAATAAATTACTATTAGTTAAATCTAATGAATTTAATGAATTTAAATAATCACTTATTGATTTAGAAGGCTTATTATGTGTTAAATATTCATTAATATCTCTATCGATATTATTTATATGATTTGTAACTGTATTATATATTTGGGTTATGATATCTTTCATTACAAATTCAGTAATATTATTTTTTAAATTATAAATACTAACTATAGCTGCGTGAGCACTTTTTATTTTTTCTACTTCTTTTTGTAATTCAGAAATAGATGTGGTTGGATTTGAATTATTATTAATTTCTTCAATATTTTTTTTTAGTATTTTATTTTCTTCTTCTAAATCATTAATTTTAGATATTAATTTATTAATATTAGATTTTAAATCAGATATTTCTTCTTCTTTTTTTTTTAATGATTCCACGATAATTTTTTTAATCTCATTTATTTTATTATTAGTATTATTTTTATTTGTTTTTTTGTTATTGGATTTACCTTAAATTAAAATATATTAATTTATAATAGATATGATAAATATATTAAATTATTTGTATACATATTATTTTATTAATAAGTTAATAATTAGTAATATTATTACTAAAATAATAATAATGCAAATATTAATTATTTACTGTTTTTTTGAATGATTTTCATCTTCGAAAAATTCACCAATATTGAAGTCTGCCATAAAGAATTAAAAATAAAAAAACCAAGCTTTAAATAATAATAATTTAATTAATAATAAATTATTAATACATTATTATTATTTAAAGCTTGATTTTTTTATTTTTATTAAAATAAAACAATGGCTGAAAAAGACATTATTCAGTATCTTTGTTCTGATACAGGAGATATTTATGAAAGACAAGATTATGGAAATACATATTTATCATATTACAATTCATTATCACTTAATAATGATGCTATTGCTACTAAGGATTTCAACAGAAAAATAGATCAAAAACAAAAATATATAAATTCAGATTTAAATGATACTGAGAAAATATTACGTTAAAAAGTTAATATATTTTTTACAACTTTACAAAATAAAGAACTTGTAAATAATGAAGAAATTACTACAATATATGTTGTTGCAGGTGGATCAGATAGAAAAAGAATTGAACAATTGGAATTTAAAGATCATGATACGTTTAGATCAATGTTAAATATGTTATTAATTATTATAAAAAAAGAAGAATTTAAAGGAAAATGTATTAATATTATATGTAAATCTAAAGAATTTAGATTTATTATTAAATATAAAATACATCGTTGGATTGAAGCTGATTTAAAAAAAGATAATGATAAAATACTTGAAAAAATTAGTAATAATACAGATTTTGATGATCTTGAAGATATAGAATATTCTGAAATTGTTAATAGAATAGATGATATTATGGGTAAAAATGATATTATGATTGATGCTGAATTAAGTATTGGTCATATTAATAATGTGAATGCATTTTTCAGAAGTTTTAAACCTATTATTAAAAAATCTAAAAATAAAGTAATAAGACAAAGACAAAACAAATGTTAAATTTTATTTAATATATTATAATATATTTATTTATTTAGTTATATTATTTATTTATTTTATTTAAATATTTATTATATTTTATTAATAAAAAATAATTATAAATGTTATATTAATTATATTATTGGTTTATTCATTGCAATGTTTATTTGATTATTTATTGAATTATCATTATTTGATCTAAATCTTGGTCTTATATTTCATTCGTTATCATTCTCATCATCTGTTAATTCATATGTATTACCAACTATATTTTCAGTAATATATATTATACTTCCACTACTATCAGGATTATATATAGCTTGACCTAAAGGATTACCACTATGAGAATGTATTTGCATTTCAGCCATTATTATTCTAGGTGTATTTTGTATTTGTGGTAATTGATAATTAATTGTTCTTCTATGTGTAATACTCATTCTTTTAGGTTGGTTAATTCTCATAATTCTTCGTAATATTTCTCTTTGATTATTATTTAATTGTCTAAATACCATTTCTCTAATATTATTTCTAAAATTATTAAATGCTTCTTCAAGATTATAATTATTTCTTGTTGTAGTTAATTGATTTTGCATATTTTCAAAATTTGTTATATATTGTTGTAAACGTTCATTATTTAAATTTATAGTTCTAATATCATTTTGAAGATTATTTAATAATTCTTCAAAATTCTTATTATTTCTTGTTATTAATTGAGTATATAAATTTTCTAAATTTGGTAAATAATTATCTAAACGTGTATTATCAAAATTTATACTACAAATATTTTGATTAATATCATTTATTTGTTCATTAAAATGATTTATAGATATTCCTATTTCTTGATTATTATTATTGATTCTTTGGAATAAATTATCAAAATTATTATTAAGTCTTTGACTATTTTGATTTAAATCATTAATTCTTTGATTGAAATCTCTAAAATTTGTATTAATTTGTTGGTTTGTATTATCGATATTGGTATTTATTTTATCAAAAATACCATTAAGGTTTAAATTGAAATTGTTGAATCTTTGATTTATATTATTATTAATATTTCTAAATTCATTGTTCAGATTTTTACCCAATGTATTAAAATTTCGATTTAGATTAATGATACTACCTCTAACATGACCAAATTTATTATTGATATCATGATTAATTTGGTTAAGATTTTGATTATAGTTATCTAATGTTTTACCAGCTATTATTAATCTTTGATTTAATTGATTAAAATGATTAAAAATATTATCATTTGTTTTTGTATAATGAGTGTTAATATTTCTATTCATACGATCTAATATAGTTTCTAATTGAATTTCTGATTGTCTAATTATATTAATCAATCTTTGATCACATTGTTAAAATTAATTTTGAAGATTTTGAAATTGATTTTGTAAATTTCCTATAGGTTGTAAACCCATTCCATTATGTAGGATACTATTATTATTTCCATTACCATTTCTATTATTTCCAGGTCTTTGAGGAATTGGAGGTGGAGGTCTAGGTGATACAAGAGGTGGTTGTTTTGGTGGAGGTTATAATCCAATACCAATATTCGGTGGTACTGGTCTATTATTTTTAACATACCACAATCTTAATTCTCTAATTAATTTTATTAATCTAGGATTTAAACATGGTTGTACTATTCCATTTTGAAATAGACATTGAGGATCATAATGATTATGGTTTTCATTACCACAACATCCACATGTGGCAATATAATTTGGAATTCTAGGTCTTCTTGGTATTTTTGGTACTCTAGGAATTTTTGGTATTTTAGGAATATTTTGATTATAAAAAACAAATGGTTGTTGTGATATATTCATAAATTGTTGTCGGTATAGTATATTTACATATTGATAAGGTATGTTTACATGATGATAAGGTATATTATTAAAATATGGATAATAATAAACAAATTGACACTTCACAAAATTTATTAATATTGATAAATATAATATTTTTATTTTTATTAAATTCATTTATTTAATATATTAAAAGATTTTTTTTTAAGAAAGTAAGAATTTTGTCCTCCCATATTGTATTCTTTTTTAAATTTTTTTATTCCACTTTTAATTACTCTTAAATGATTTTGTGTTATGCAATTAGCTGCACCTGCACCTCTACCATATACCCTACAGCTTCTTCTATTATGACCAATTTTACCACAACAACTACAAAATGTTAATCTAGATTTTGGATTTTCAAAATATTTTTTAACAGATTTTCTTATACCAACTACATTTACAACATTATGAGCAAATCTTCTTAAAAAACACATTCTATTTGTATGTCCCAATGCTCCGCAATGACTACATGCTCTACCTTCTGATGGACGTTTTCTAACTATTATATTTGTTGCCCATGGAATTCTCTATTTATAATCTTGAAACATCATATAATTTTGAGGTGTTAAAGCATTATTAGGATTATATGGGATCATAGCACCATATCGTGTTGGACATGTTTTACAATTATGACCAGGTAATCCACATACTCCACAAATTGCATGTATTTGAGAGATTAATAAATTTATAATTAATAATATTAATAAAAATTTTTTGTTTTTTTCCAGGACATCTTTTATTTGATGCGATATGTGATGTACTCCTACAGATTCCACAATGTCAAGTTTTTTGATCTGATTGAAAACTTTTTTTATTACATGAAATAATATTATTTTTATTTGAATTACAATTACAGGTAGAAAATGAAATGTTTATTAATAATGACACTATCAATAATAAAAATATAATCTTCATTTTAAGAAGGAAAAAAAAATAAATAATGTTATATATTTATACTATCTTGTCTTTAATTATATTTGCTAATTTTTTAATTTCATTATTGAAAAATAAATCCATTTTTTCTTTTTCGATTTGTTTTTTTTCATTTTCAATACGATCCTTTTCTGATTCTTGTAAATAAACATCAGAAATCAATTTCATAGAATCATACATTTTTTCTTCATCTATAATTGTTCTAGTATTTTTAATATAAAAGTTTTTACGTATATATTCTAAATAATTTTGTAAATCTTTTCTAATTTTATTATTACTATTTAAATTTTTATTAATTTTTTTTTGCCATCTATCATATTGTTGTTTAATAGTTAATCTTCTTCTTCTTATCATTTAAAATAATTATTGATTTGATAAGATATTTTTTCTTAATTCTTGTAATATAGAGATTTTATAGTTATTTTTTGATAAAAATTCATCTCTTAATAATTTAATTTCTTTATCAAAAATTCTATTATCTTTAAATTTTTCTTTATCATTTTTTTCAGTTTCTATTCTTTTGAGAATTGATTCATAAAAATTTTTGTTATATTCTAAAAATTTTAATGTTAATTTTTCTTTTGCATTAATAACTTTTCTATTTTTGATAAATTTCTCACTATAATCTAATGAAATGTTATTTTTATCTAATTTATAATTAAGATAATTTTTATAATTATTATAATATGAAATCATGTTTTGATTATCTAAAATTAATTTTTTCCAATTTTTTTGTGTTTCTAAATCTTTAGAAGTTCTAAAATCGAGATTTTTAATTTTGAAATCATAATCAATAATTGCATCTTCTAATTCTTCAGTTAAAAATTTTTTAAAGATTGTATTTACATTACGATTCAATAAATATTTTTGATCTAATTTATGAAGCATTAGATTACTATATTTGTTTTTTGTGTAGAGAAAAATGTTTTTTTATCTATAAGTATTAATAATTCATCATATAATTCATTCATAGAATTATTTATTTTTTCT